AAAACCGCCTTCTGTAATGTCACTCCGTAGCCCAGAGATGAGGAAGGCTCAGGGTTACTGCATCGGTCTTAGTAGATACTTTAAGTTCTTCTTAAATAAAATGTTCTTCATCTCTAACTTTAAAACTTCACATTTTCACCAACAGGAACCACTTCCTGGTGCCACAGGAACCCCTTCCTGGTATTACAGGACCACTTCCTGGTGCTACAGGAACCACTTCCTGGTGCTACAGGACCACTTCCTGGTGCTAAAGGACCACTTCCAAACCTCAGTTTTCCAGGGTTCGTCACGTTTTTAGTGTCTTTCATTTCCAGAAATCACCATAAACCAAACTATTGTCCAGACGTAGTTTTTAATCTTCTACAATCCTGGACACCTTTTTCCTTTTTTCTGCTCCACTCACTGACCTCTGACACATAAAAATACCCAAAAATATCACGGTCCTTATCAACAACTACTGTAACGACCACATTGTTTATGTTAATTATGGGATGTTGCTGAAATGTAGAGGAGGTTTTTAATGTTTTAAATCACACTTTCTTTGTGTCATTTTACAGCTAAAAGTCGTCAGGGGAGTGCTTCTCACAGCATGTGTGTTTGTTAAGGTCCAACTCTTACCTGGAACCAAGAGAAAAGATCGAAAATGTTTGAATTTATATCACACACACACACACACATATACACACACACACACTCAGAGCATATAAACATGTGAAGGCCTACAGGTCAACAAGGCACAGTCAAAGTCAATGGGGTCTGATGGAACGTCAATGGGTCTGAACCCCCACCACACACACACACACACACACACACGCAGAGGTGGGCTAACTAACATCCCACGGCATCCTGCTGGGTCAGCAGCCGTAAAACCGTCAGGAGAACTGATGACCGACTGGCCCCTCTCTCTCTCTCTCTCTCTCTCTCTCACACACACACACGTTCACGGACACACACATACACGCATCATTCACCTTGGCCATAAATCTTGAATTATACCCTCCTCCCTCGTCGTTCGCTCACTCACTTGCACAGAAATGCACACACACACACACACACACGCTCACGGACACACACATACACGCCTCATTCACCTTGGCCATAAATCTTGAATTATACCCTCCTCCCTCGTCGTGCGCTCACTCACTTGCACAGAAATGCACACACACACACACACACACAGAGGTGGGCTAACTAACATCCCACGGCATCCTGCTGGGTCAGCAGCCGTAAAACCGTCAGGCGGACTGATGACGGAGCGGCCCCTCTCTCTCTCTCTCTTTCTCTCTCTCTCACACACACACACGCTCACGGACACACACATACACGCATCATTTACCTTGACCATAAATCTTGAATTATACCCTCCTCCCTCGTCGTTCGCTCACTCACTTGCACAGAAATGCACACACACACACACACACGCTCACACACACACACACACACACAGAGGTGGGCTAACTAACATCCCACGGCATCCTGCTGGGTCAGCAGCCGTAAAACCGTCAGGCGGACTGATGACGGAGCGGCCCCTCTCTCTCTCTCTCACACACACACACGCTCACACACACACACACACATACACACACACTCACGCACACACACACACACACACATACACACACGTTCACGGACACACACACACACGCATCATTCACCTTGACCATAAATCTTGAATTATACCCTCCTCCCTCGTCGTTCGCTCACTCACTCGCACAGAAATGCACACACACACACACACACTTTCTAAACTGATTTGTTGTGATGTAAATGATCGGCCGTTGTCTATCTGGAAATCTTGGGCATCAAGTCTTGGTGGGTGTAAAGAAAAAAAAAAAAAAAAAAAGAATAAAAAATCCAAAATAATAGGACAGGCTGATGTTCCTGGATGCTGCTTTTTT